GACGCCGTGTGACGAGGGGGGGGGGGTCAAAAATCGTCCAAAATTGCGTGACGTCACTTATGTACGACCCCTAATATCGTTGGTGTTTGAACATCTTAACACCACCTCTGTTGTATTTCCAGAGAAGGGTAAAGCCTATTCTTGTTTTTTTCATACTTTGATCCTGCCAAAAAAGGTATCCCTTGTTGTAGCTGCTCGAACCCGACCTATAAATGCTCTGATGGTGGCATTGTCTTTGTGCTGTCCGCCTTTTGGCGCTGTTCTCTGGTGTGACGCTGGTAGTGAGACTAGCCCCTATAGAAGGCCGCTGTCTCTGGTGTAGGCCAATCAGTTTCAAAGACAATGCCATCGCATTGTTTCAAATTGCGATTTCGATTTGAAATCGATCAATCGTTCAGCCCTAATTTGGAGGGCGTAACCCGTTCATGATTATTAATGAGGGGGGCTGTTCGATGTGGAGTGACGTCACTTGCACGTGACTATTAGTGAGCGGGGGAGTACTCCATATTGAGTGACGTCACCCGCCCATGATTATTAATGAGGAGGGGTGGGGGGGATGTCCATTTAGAGGACGTCACCTGCTCATGAATATTAATGAGGGAGGCTGGTCGATGTGGAGTGACGTCACAAGCGTTAAGGACAGACATTCCTGGGTGATTATAGTAGGTATGCATCACTTTAACACGTAGACTTTCGCGACCAATACCATCCATAATAGAGGGGTTTTTTTTAGTTAAGATCGCGTAAATATATAAATGTGTTCCTAAACCCGCCACCACCAGACACAGCCAATTAGTAAGGTTTGTCACTTAAACAGAATGTAGACAATTCGTTGCTAGTACAGCGCACCGAACTGAGATTGTATATCTTGCGGATTTGCTCTCCAACACACCAGTGTGCTGAGCTAGTGACGAACCGGCTATGTTCTGTTTACGTGACAAAAATAACGAATTGTCTGTGTCGGGTGGTGGCGGGTTTAACAGCGCATTTATATATTTGCGCGATCTAACCGAAAAAAACTCTATTTACGGATCTCAATGCACGGTGGTGGAAAGCTGGAGGACCCGGAGAAAAAAAAATCTACACGACCACGGGGAGAGAGAGAGAGAATCAAACTCCAAATATACAACAGGAATCGTCAGGGCCGGTGTTGAACCCACAACAACCGTGCTATGTGTGTGTGTGTTGAACTTCTTTCGCACCGTACATAGCCAACCGTGCTACGTGTGTGTGTTGAACTTCTTTCACACCGTACATATCCAACCGTAATGTATATCTATTCATAATCAACGTTTTTGGGTTTAGATCGCGTTATTTATAAATGTGTCGTAACCCTCCACCACCCGACACGGCCAATCAGTAAAAACGTAAAACGTGACACGTTTTTACTGATTGGCCGTGTCGGGTGGTGGAGGGTTACGACACATTTATAAATAACGCGATCTAAACCCAAAAACGTTGATTATGAATAATATTGGTCGCGAAAGCCTACGTGTTAAAATGTATATCTATGTTGAACTTATTTCGCACCGTACGTAGCCAACCGCGATATGTATGTATGTTGAACTTCTTTCGCACCGTACGTAGCCAACTGTGCTAATCGGAGGCCCAGGGGAAGGACTACAAGTGAAACACAAAACGCTGTTTTAAAGCAATGAGTTGTCAATCTAGATGATGATGATTTAAAAGTGACATAATCGCTCCCAGTGGCTTCTTAAACATCGGAATGAATGGAGCGTTCCAGACGGCCACAAAAGCGCATCCGAAAGCGCCGCGTGATGATGATGGTGATGGTGGTGATGATGATAATGGTTTTGATGATGATGATAGTAATGATAGTGATGCTAGTAATGATAGTGATGATGGTGATGATGATGGTGAAGATGATGGTGATGTTGATGTGATGATGGTCGTGATGATGATGGTGGTGATGCTGGTGAAGATGGTGATGATGGTGATGATGAAAATGATGATGGTGATGATGGTCGTGATGATGGTGATGTTGATGTGATGATGGTTGTGATAATGATGGTGGTGATGATGGTGAAGATGGTGATGATGGTGATGATGATGATGGTGATCATGGTCGTGATGATGATGATGATGGTCGTGATGATGATGGTGATGAAGGTGAAGATGGTGATGATGGTGATGATTATGGTGATCATGGTCGTGATGATGATGGTCGTGATGATGATGATGGTGATGATGGTCGTTATGATGCTGATGATGGTGACACTGATGCGGTGATCACCACTCACTTTGTTCGACGGCGAGCAGCTAAAAGCCACTGCTGCCACCAGGATTACCCCCGGAGTGTGACGTGATGATGATGATGATGATGGTTTATAGCTCCTTGCTAAAGAGATCAGAAGCCGAGGCATCGTGGTGGTTCTTTTGTGACGAGCGCTCTGTGCGTGTGTGTGGTTGTGATGAGTCTGTATGGGGAGCAGTAGTGTAGCATGTAGCAGTCGGCAGCAGCGGTGGCAACGTGTGATGATGACGATGACATGTCACTTCAATAGCCCTCTATCTCTATCTTATCTGATGATGATGATAATTCGAAGGCATATTCGCATGGTTCGTAGTGAATCGCGCTACACTGCTACACCGCCGCTCCCCACGCACAAAGGCAAAGATTCTTTCCCGTGTAGCCTCAACAGACCGTTGGGGCAAGTGCTGTTAGTGAGCAGCGCCTATGAAGGCCGGCACGGCACTCGAAGGGGGTAGGTGGCCAGCAACCACGCCCGACCGCCTTTGTCTCCCCCAGTGTCGACTTTTATTACACCGTCGCACCGCGCACTCATTTGAGTCTGAGTCGACCTAGGAGAGAGCACAGCACGGGTTCAGACAATCGTCACTCGCCGGTGTTGACGGCCGGGGCACAGCGCAGCAACAGTGCTAACCGCTGCACCACCGCTCCTCCGACAGGTGGACAACACAGACCGACATGAGGATGTGATGAGTGGATGAATGAATGAATGGCAATGCTGGTGCTGGTACTGGTTATCACAAATCATCGACGGGCAATGTCCACACAACTCCCCACCACCATCCACCCCAAGCTCAAACTCACCAACCTCATGCCACCACCCCAACCTCACCAAACTCACCGACCCCATCTCCCTAACTCACCATCACCAACCTCACCTATCCCATCTCATCAATCTTACCATCCTCACCAACCCCATCTCTCCACCCAACATCACCAACCTCACCTATCTCATCTCATCAATCTCACCATCCTCACCAACCCCATCTCTCCACCTCAACATCACCAACCTCACCTATCTCATCTCATCAATCTTACCATCCTCACCAACCCCATCTCTCCACCTCAACATCACCATCCTCACCAACCTCATCTCATCAATCTCACCATCCTCACCAACCCCATCTCTCCACCTCAACATCACCATCCTCACCAACCTCATCTCATCAATCTTACCATCCTCACCAACCCCATCTCTCCACCTCAACATCACCATCCTCACCAACCTCATCTCATCAATCTTACCATCCTCACCAACCCCATCTCCCCACCCCAACATCACCATCCTCACCAACCGCATCTCATCAATCTCACCATCCTCACCAACCCCACCTCTCCACCTCAACATCACCAACCTCACCTATCTCATCTCATCAATCTCACCATCCTCACCAACCCCATCTCTCCACCTCAACATCACCAACCTCACCTATCTCATCTCATCAATCTTACCATCCTCACCAACCCCATCTCTCCACCTCAACATCACCATCCTCACCAACCTCATCTCATCAATCTCACCATCCTCACCAACCCCATCTCTCCACCTCAACATCACCATCCTCACCAACCTCATCTCATCAATCTTACCATCCTCACCAACCCCATCTCTCCACCTCAACATCACCATCCTCACCAACCTCATCTCATCAATCTTACCATCCTCACCAACCCCATCTCCCCACCCCAACACCACCATCCTCACCAACCGCATCTCATCAATCTCACCATCCTCACCAACCCCATCTCTCCACCTCAACATCACCAGCCTCACCTATCTCATCTCATCAATCTTACCATCCTCACCAACCCCACCTCTCCACCTCAACATCACCAACCTCACCAATCTCATCTCATCAATCTCACCATCCTCACCAACCCCATCTCTCCACCCCAACATCACCAACCTCACCTATCCCATCTCATCAATCTCACCAACCTCACCAACCCCATCTCTCCACCTCAACATCACCAACCTCACCTATCCCATCTCATCAATCTTACCATCCTCACCAACCCCATCTCTCCACCTCAACATCACCATCCTCACCTATCCCATCTCATTCTTTGGTTCTTTCGGTAAAGTCACGTATAAAGAAAAAAAAAATAACCTCTTCTTGGTTCTTTCGGTAAAGTCACGTAGAAGGGAAGTAATAAAATAATAAAAATAAAACATAATAAAATAAAATATTATTATTATGTTTTTTTTTACTTCCCTTCTACGTGACTTTACCGAAAGAACCAAGAAGAGGTTATTTTTGTTTTTCTTTATACGTGACTTTACCGAAAGAATCAAAGAATAATTCCTGCAGTCACGAAAGCTCCAAAGTTAAGATTACTATCCCATCTCCTCAATCTCACCATCCTCACCAACCCCACCTCCCCACCTCAACATCACCAACCTCACCTATCCCATCTCATCAATCTCACCATCCTCACCAACCCCATCTCTCCACCTCAACATCACCAACGTCACCTATCCCATCTCCTCAATCTCACCAACCTCACCAACCCCATCTCTCCACCTCAACATCACCAACCTCACCTATCCCATCTCATCAATCTCACCAACCTCACCAACCCCACCTCTCCACCCCAACATCACCAACCTCACCAACCCCATCTCTCCACCCCAACATCACCAACCTCACCTATCTCATCTCATCAATCTCACCATCCTCACCAACCCCACCTCCCCACCTCAACGTCACCATCCTCACCCGCGTCGTCACCGCGAGCGCACGCGGTTCCTGCGGAACCACCTCAGGAGGCAGACCCTGACCTCGGCGGTACGCAGGCCATACACGATGGGATTCATCACGGGGGGCACCACGAAGTGCAGCGTCCGCACGAAGAAGAGGAGCTCCCTCGGCATCGAGCTGCCTGCCGCCATGCTGCTGCCGAACGTGCACAGGATGAACACGAAGAAGACGGTGAAGATGATGAAGTGGGTCGCGCACGTGTACGCGGCCTTGCGTCGGCTCCGCCCGCGGCCATCCCCCTTGCGGCACTCGGCCACGATGAGGCCGTAGGTGACGGCGATCACACACACGGGCAGCACGAGGGTGATGGCGGCCGTCAAGAAGCCGTAGGCGACATTGGGCAACGCGGTGCCGCCGCACGCCCAGTTGCTGACGACCAGGAAGTCGCAGTAGGGCGAATTGGCCATCACGAGGGGCCCGCAGAACTCGAGCGAGGAGACGAGCAGCACCATGCCCAGCGAGGAGGCGGTGGCCAACGCCGACTCGATCAGGCAGAGTGCCGCCGCCCTGCCGTTGGGCATGAGCGTGGCATAGCGCAGTGGGTGGCAGATGGCCAGGTAGCGGTCCACCGACATGACGGCCATGTGGAAGCACTGGATGCTGGCGAACACGTGCGTGAAGAACATCTGCGCGATGCAGGAGGGCATCGGGAAGTAGGAAGGGTTCGTCACGAGGTCGAGGACGATGCGCGGGTCTTTGCTGGTCACCTCCAGGACGTCGGTGGCGCAGAGGAAGGCCATGAAGAGGAACATGGGCTTGTGGAGGGTCCGCTCGAGCAGGATGGCCAGGCAGAGGAGCGAGTTGCAGAGGAGGGTGAGGGCGTACGACGTGACGAATAGGGCGACTGTGACGTGTCTGGATGCGGCGGGCTCGCGGAGGGCGACGTCGACCAGGATCAGGACAAAGGGTCGAGTGGGTGGAGTGATTTGGGGCGAGTGGGATGTGTTGGAAGCCGCTGTTATTATTGTTGTTGTTGTCACTGTCGTTGTTGTCGTCGTCATCTTCACTGTTATCTTCTTCAGCATCGTCGGCACTAGTGTACATGGGCATCAGAAGCCCGGGGAGGAAATTGCAATAGCAGAAACAACTAGAATAACAATGACAACAATAACAATTACAACTATAACAGCAACACTAACAACTATGACAGCAATAGCAACAAGATCAAAAACAACAATAGCAATAATACCAACAACAATGACGAGTATAACAAAAAAGTTATAACAATAACAAATATAACAATAAAAATAACAATAACATGTAACAATAAAAACCATAACAACTATAACAATAACAAATGTAACATTAACAACGATACTAACCGTAACAATAAGAACTATAACACGAACAACTATAGAAAAAAAACAATAACAGCTATACCAACTATAACAATAGCAACATAACAATAACAACCATCAAAATAATAACTATAACAATAACTGTAACAATAACAGTAAGACATATAAAATGGTTCTTTCTGTGAAGTCACGTAGGTAGAAAATAAAATAAATAAAACCTTTAAAAACAGTCTGCCTTAGCAGCAGACTATGCTTTCCCACCTGATGACGGATGCTTGTGTTGCGCCCGAAACGTCGTGATTTATTTTATTTTCTACCTACGTGACTTTACCGAAAGAACCAAAGAGTATGGATTCCTGCAGTCACGAAAGCTTCAAATCAAGAATAACAACTATAGCAATAATAAGACTTACTATAACAATAACAACTTTAACAACCATAACATTGGCAATAAAAATTATAACAATAAAAACAAGCATGATTAGAACAATAAAAGCAAGTATTACAATGACAAAAATAACAACAGAAATTTTAACAATAACTTTAACAACAATAACAACTCTAACAACACTATGAGACCTCCTTTACCAGTGGCAAAATATAGTAATAGGTTTTTACCCTTTCAACTGGTACAAAAACTGACACCTTTATGTAAGGCATCATGTTTGCAATAACCACAACACAAGCAGTCAAAATGCAAACAAAAAGAAACAACTTTGATGATGATATGCACTGTCCTTGAAGTTGATTGGTCCACACCCGAGACAGCTTTTCTTAGAGCCTAGTCTCCATTGGTTCTAAGAAAAGCTGTCTCAGGTGTGGACCATTCAAATTCAAGGACAGTGCATATCATTATCATCATCAGAGTTGTTGCTTTTTGTTTGCATTTTGACTGCTTGTGTTGTGGTTATTGCAAACATGATGCCTTTTATAAAGGTGTCAGTTTTTGTACCAGTTGAAAGGGTAAAAACCTGTTACTATATTTTGCCACTGGTAAAGGAGGTCTCATAGTGTAAATGCTTACCCCGAGCTCTCAATACTCTGATAGTGCGCTGTCTTTGAGTTGTACGCCTTTTGGCGTCATCTGGTCCAACACCAATGGAGACTAGGCTCTAAAAAAAGCTGTCTCGGGTGTGGACCAATCAACTTCAAGGACAGTGCATATCATTATCATCATCAGAGTTGTTTCTTTTTGTTTGCATTTTGAATGCTTGTGTTGTGGTTATTGCAAACATGATGCCTTGTATAAAGGTGTCAGTTTTTGTACCAGTTGAAAGGGAAAAAATCTATTACTATAACTCATCTTCTTGGTTCTTTCGGTAAAGTCACGTAGAAGGGAAGTAATAAAATAATAAAAATAAAACATAATAAAATTATTCTCACGACGTTTCGACTCTGTCGCAGACTCTGAGTCTGCGACAGAGTCTGTCGCCTCGACGGACCTGGTTTTCACCTGAGGACGGCTGCTTGCGTTGTGGCCGAAACGTCGTGAGAATAATTTTATTATGTTTTATTTTTATTATTTTATTACTTCCCTTCTACGTGACTTTACCAAAAGAACCAAGAAGATGAATCCCTGCAGTCACGAAAGCTTTAAATCGAAACCAGGCTAAAGTTTAAATATCTATAGCACGGTGGCGAGAGGGTGGCTAGTAGATGTTAGCTACCTCGCCTAGTATGCAGGAGGTCGTGGGATCGATCCTGACCCTGATGCCTGTTGTATAATTGGAGTGTGCGTGTTTCTCTCTCTCCCCGTGGTGATATGTTAACAACCTCACCTGGTATACAGGAGGTCGTGGAATCGATCCCGACCTGATACTTGCTGTATATTTGGAGTTTGCGTGTGTCTCTGTCATCATCATCACGGTGGCTAGGAGATGGTAACTCCCTCGCCTGATATATAGGAGGTCCTGGGTTCAATCCCGACCCTGACGCCTGCTGTATATTTGAAGTTAGCATGTGTCTATCTTATCATCACCACGGTAACTTCCTCGCCTGGTATACAGGAGGTCGTGGGATCGATCCCGACCTGATACCTGCTGTATATTTGGAGTTTGCGTGTGTCTCTGTCATTATCATCACGGTGGCTAGGAGATGTTAACTTCCTCGTCTGGTATACAGGAGGTCGTGGGATCGATCCTGACCCTGATGCCTGCTGTATATGTGGAGTTTGCGTCTCTCTCTCCTCGTGTAGCCAGGGAAAGGGAGGTCTGGACCGCCACTACTCATGCGGACGGAGAAATTAATGAACCAAAAAATGCAATTATAAATCTGCTCTCCTCTCGATCCTCCTGTACTCGAAGCACTACACATAATGTTCATTTTTCGTGTGATAATAAAATACCAAAAAAGTTATCCTCTCCTCTTCATCCTCTTGTACTCGAAGCACTAGAACTAATGTGCCTCTTTAATGTAATAATGAAACTCCAATTTAAATCTGCTCTCTTCTCGATCATCCTGTGCTCGAAGCACTAATAATAATCTGCCTGTTTTATGTACTAACAAAATGGCAATGTGATATGTTGAGTGAGATTTATTTTTACATGTAAAGAACATTCTGGCCAAAGAAATAGACTGATAGGAGTACGTATTGAAAGGTTGGAGAGATTTCAAAATGAGCCATGCCCAAGGTCATCGTTACTCCCACGTCTGCGGTGTCTCTGTCTGTAACAATTCTTGTTAAAACAGAGTTATTGCTGCGGTGTTAAAGCAGAGCCCAGCCAGAAGCCAGCCAAGGAAACTCAAAACCTAGATTGTCGTTAATAGTAGTGTATATATATATTAAATGAGACCTATAAAATCATGTGTGCATTAACCACAATGCTTGTGGTCAAAAATATTTTGTTTAGGCGCTCTTCTTCCCACCTCCCCCCCTCTAACCCAGCTTAAATATACGCTCCAAGCTTGGTGGTGTTTCATTCTTCGCCTGAGGACGGCTGCTTGCGTTGTGGCCGAAACGTCGTGAGAATTGTTTTATTTTGTTTTATTTTTATTATTTTATTACTTCCCTTCTACGTGACTTTACCGAAAGAACCAAGAAGATGAATCCCTGCAGTCACGAAAGCTTTAAATCGAAAAATACACTCTGATAATATATGCATTGTCCTTGAAACTGATTGGGCCACACCAGAGATGGCTTTCTTTTGAGCCTCGTCTCAATTGATGCTAGACCAGAGGACGCCAAAAGGCGAACGGTTTCACAGACAATGCCATCGATTATCAGAACATGTTTGTTTGCATGTTCACCACAAGCACAGCGTGTGGTTAATGCAGAATGAATTCCTTTGCAAAGGGTTTCCATTTGGTGTTAGAACATCTTAACACCTATACTCTTTGGGTTTTTTCAGTAAAGTCACGTGGGTAGAAAAATAATAGATCACGACGTATCGATCGCAACACAATCGTCATCATGTGGGACAACCACAGCAAGAAAAACTGCTGAAGTAGGCTTCAGCAGTTTTTCTTGCTGTGGCTGTCTCACCTTGTATCTCTCTCATCATCATCACGGTGGCTAGGAGATGTTAACTTCCTCGCCTGGTATACAGGAGGTGGTGGGATCGATCCTGACCCTGACGCCTGCTTCAGCAGCTTTTCTTGCTGTGGTTGTCTCACCTGATGGCGATTGCTTGTGTTGCGATCGAAATGTCGTGATCTATCATTTTTCTACCTACGTGACTTTACCGAAAGAACCAAAGAGTATGGATTCCTGCAGTCACGAAAGCTTCAAATCAACATCTTAACACCTCTTGTTTTGATAATTGGGTTTTTACCCATTTATCTGGCAACAAAACTGACACCTTTTTACGAGGAGTCATGTTTGCATAGACCACAATACCTGCAGTCATAATGCAAAAAAAAACATAACTCTGATAATGTATGTACTGTCCTTGAAGTTGATTGGTCCACACCCGAGACAGCTTTCCTTAGAGCCTAGTCTCACATGGGTTGGACCAGATGACACCAACCCATGTGAGACTAGGCTCTAAGGAAAGCTGTCTCGGGTGTGGACCAATCAACTTCAAGGACAGTGCATACATTATCAGAGTTGTGTTTTTTTTTGCATTATGACTGCTGGTATTGTGGTCTATGCAAACATGACTCCTCGTAAAAAAGGTGTCAGTTTTGTTGCCAGATAAAAGGGTAAAAAAACAATTATCATATTTTTTACTGGCAAATGAGGTACCAATGGTGTAAACCTCTTGTTTTATTGCCAGAAAGGGTAAACACCTATTCTTATATTTTCAGACGGATTATCGTTCAACAACGAGCCAAACTCAATGAAATGCTGAACCAACTCTGAGACAAGAGACGCAGACTCTCCCCGAGCATACGTGTAACTCGGCGAAGCCTTTGAGCACTGAATAAACCCATCGTGGTACGATCCGCATATAAAGGTTTCGCCTTTACAGGCTTCCGTCATGTGTAATATGCCAGGTAAAGTCCTTTTATTCAGAGGCGATCCTGGCCACAAGTGTCAATAGATCCTCATCGCAGTGGCTGGTATCATCATCATAGCCACGTGGGGATTAATAGCAAAAGGTCAGTATTCTAAACATT